AGAGATATTTTTAGATATATATTTATATAGATACATATATATATATATACATATAGATATATATATCTATATATATATATATATATATATATATATATATATATATATATATATATATATATATATATATATATATATATATATATATATATATATATATATATATATATATATATATATATATATATATATATATATATATATATATATATATATATATATATATATATAAATTATTTATTCGAACCAGGGCACCGTCAAGCCGGCGTGCAACAAATTTTGCCAGCGATGGGCACCGACGAGTCGGCGGGCAGGAAGGACCGGTGTGCAACAACTTGGGAGCCCGCCGAGCATATATTAGTGAAATGCAAAAATGCGAAAACCAGAAAAATGATCACTAAACATTGAAAATGCCGAGGGAATCAACTTTTATATATCTCATTATTTTATGTGTTAGATAACCATGGTTGCAAAGCATGTACAAGGAAAACAAACTAATACTACAAGTAAATACATTATAGAGTACCATAACTCCTCTGTTTTCCAAACATCTTGGCGGAAAGCGTCCCCACCAACTCCAAACCCAATATTGGGCTGCATCGGAACCCTGGAAGGAGGCGGCGGCCGGCGGCGAATGAACAATCGCTGTGAACAAGCCCATCGGAACCTTGGTAAGGAGATGTTCTTTACTATTTTCTTGTCATTTAAGTTTCTCGCTAAAATGTTTCCATTCCCTTATCTTGTTTCTTTTTTTCATTTTTTCCCTGTTGTTTGCCTTTTTTGATGTCCACGGGCTTGTTTTCTAGGAACCTGATCTGGGCTCGTTAAAAAGAAGATAATCTATCCGAGTATTTGAGTAGCGAGCACGAGTTCGTTAAACCGAAGACAATCTATCCGAGTATCCGGGTATATAGCTAGCACGAGCTCGTTAAACATAAGATAATATATCTGAGTACTTAGGTAGCGAATACGAGCTTAGGAAAAAAAAAAAAAGAAGTTCGCCGCGACTAGTTACTTCCCACGTCTCACGAGAAACTAGGGGTAGTAGGCTCGTTCGATTTTTTCACCTCGCCCGAGCAATTGGAGCGATTATCGCCGCGACTTACTTCGCACCTCTCGCGACGAATTAGGCGGAGTAGGCTCGTTCGATTTTTTCACCTCACGTAAGCATTTGGAGCGATTAGTTCGCCGCGACTAGTTACTTCGCACCTCTCACGACAAACTAGGAGGGGTAGGGGTGACTAAGATAAGCAGCACTGAGGTAGAAAGAAACACATGCATTTTTTTTTTCTCTTTTTTATCTCTTAACAATACAACATCTTACCTTCGCCGAAATACACTCAACACGTTTCTATGGTGGCCAAACGAACCCCATCAGAACCCTATTAAATTTTAGTAAAAAAAATAAACTCCACAACACTTGCGTGCAGTACTAAGTATCAATAATCAAAATAAAATTAAGTAGATCCAAAATATTCCAGCAGACTTTAAGTTTACAAAATCGCTTTGAGGGAGCTTTAGCAAACTTTTCCTTACATTAAACTTGTACCGAATGTTATATGGAAATGCTATTACAGATGCATTAGAGCAAAAAAAAAAAAAAAAGCAACGAAAAAGATCGACAAAGGTTTTATTTATTCTAGTCTTAGTCCTGTGATCTGGCTAAATACACCATTATTAAACGCACCCAGAGTCGGTGGTTAAATAAATTACTTAATGAACTCCATAATCCACATCCCGTACACGTAAGAGACAACCTTAAACTCTCCGAAACCGGAATGAAGAGCCAAGTCTTGAAATTCATCCTGTGTCCTTTCTTTACCTCCAAACATAGCTGTCATTACAAAGTCCATTTGAGAGGCATACATCGCATGAATATCGGTCTGAGTTGTGTTTGGCATAATCGAATCCATAACTATCAACTTTCCTTTGTTTGGCAGTGATTTGTAGCAGCACTTCAACAACTTCCCGCATGCCTCATCACTCCAGTTGTGCAGTATAAACTTTTCAAATGTACGTACATGCATTCATATTCAAATTATTATGATATTAATTAGGGTAAATTATGAAAACCCTCTTTAACTTAGCTAAATACCGAAAAACACCTCCACCTATCTGTAATAACCAAAATCCCCCTTTGGTTAACTGTTGATAACAGAAAGTTTGTACAGGCTATTATATCTTTTGTTAAATAGGTGAGAAATAAAAGAAAGTATCTGAAATTGTGTAAAGTCTATTCCCTGAAATAAAAAAATATCCGTGAAAAGTCACTGTGAGGAGGTTGGTGTAAGACGGAAAGAAACATCAGGGTTTTTTTGGTAATTACAAATATGTGGGGTGCTTTTTGTTATTTAACCTAAATTCAGGGGTTATTTGTAATTTACCCTATTAATTAACATATGAAAAAGAAAAATTGCTGTACGTACGTACCTTCAACAAAATGGAATCTCCTTTTGGTACTTGAACAAACATATCTCCACCAATGTGCTCTATGCCTACACACACGATAAAAAATAAAAATGAAAATAAAAAATTATGTAAGAATATTCGGGTATTTTTTTAATAAGAATCTTAGCCAAACAGGGTCTTAATTAAAGAAGAATAATATAAGCTCACCGTTGTAGTATGGCGCGGTTTTGACGATGTGGGGCAAATCAAAATTGATGCCGCGAATAAAAGGATATTTGGAAATGATAGTAGCAAGAGCGGTACCGGTGCCACCGCCTACATCAACGAGACAGCTCAAACCCTCGAAACCTCGGTACGTTTTAACGACCTTTTTCATTAGTACAGCTGAGTGCGACCTCATCGCTTCGTTAAACTTATTACTTATTTCCGTGTTACTATTCAAATGCTCGTAATATGATTTCCCATATAGCTTTTCAGATAAATTACCTCCTTCCACAATTACATCTTTCAACCTGCACATAATTTTTTTTTTTTTTTTTTTTTAATATTAGAGTAGTCCACATATATGGATTTATATAAAGAAATGTGAAAAATCAAATCAATCTACTATATATATAATGGTTAAAATTTGTATTAGTTTAAATATAATTTATGAATATTTACATATTTTTGAATTTTTTTATCAATACTCTAAAAAATAATATGAGAGGATGCAATATATCATTAGAATAATTTAGATTAATTTAGATTCTTTTATCATGCTTAAAATATGATGAAATTAAAAATTATCATTTAAACTTATTTTTGCAATGTCTTATCAACTTAATTTTTTTTAGGGCCCTATTTTGAACCCCAAAATTTTAATTGTCCTCGAATGTTTTAATTAATTAATACCTTGGCACCGTTGATGGTCCTTCGGGACGGAACAACAGGTACTGACAAAACGACGCGCCGCCGTCGTCATTCGCGAAGAACTTTCCGGCCGGAGCAATCCCATACCGGCGGTCAGGACCGCCAATATTCTCACAAATAAGCAAGGAGTGAGTTGCCAACAGCTTCAGCATGGAGTCGAGCACGACGGCTGCTCCATCGGCGGCGGGGGTCGGAAGTCGAGACACGATATCGGAGGTCGAGAGGCGGGCCCCGTCGCCGGCGCGGGAGAGGATCTCAAAAATGTCGAGCTCGACGGCGGCGTACAGAACCATCTCCAGTATGTAAGAACCGCAAGCGGCCAATGCCGTGACAGCTGCATCATCGTCCTCCCCATGCTTGTAATTATTATTCACAACCTCCATTTCTTTTTTTTTTTTTTTTTTTTTTTTTTCTTCTAATTATATATTCTTGGTAGAAAAGGATTAATACAATCTTGGTTTTTGCTGTGTGGGTGTTAAATACAGTTTTATAATCAAGTTGCCGTACTGTTCTATAGTAATTTTGGTTAGGTTACACTTTATTATTTTTCACACTACACCTAAACCCGAATTATACGAGAGACGTAAACCACACTAGGCTAACCATGTGTAACAAACTCCACCTAGCAACCGTTGGCAAGGGAAAAATCTCTACTCCGAGTTCCACAGATAATGAATCGGGTCAGTTTATCAGAACTTCTCCAACCCTACACCCAGTGCCCACCCGATGTTTATCACTGGGTATAAGGTCAAAGGAGCCATTTGTCATACATTCCATACCCCTGTATTATACATAATTCCTAAAAATCCCATTGCGTTATATATATTTCAATACATTTTGGTACAATTAAAGATTTAACTCACAAAGATTTAGTTTAACATGAAACAAATCAATCATTAATTATTTAAAAAATAACAATAAATTAATATTATTAGTAAAGAAATTATATCTTTTTTATTTATTTATGTTTATTTTAATGTTCAAAAATCTAAAATAAAATATATTCTTAATATTATAAAAAAATATAAATTTATTGATCTTAGAATAGTGTTATAATTAGGGTAAATTACAACCATCCCTGAGGTATGGTCAATTTACGAAAAAATCATCTTGTTTGGATAATTACAATTCTTACACCTCCACTCTTATGGTGTCAAATTCAACAAAATCATCTAGATTTCGTAAAATGTGCTCTAGTTTGTACTCGTTTTGTGTAAAAATACAGTTTCTGATGCACCACAATCTAATATATACAAGCTTAAAAACATATACTATAACAGTGATATATGGTGCTACTGTGTTGTCAGAGTTCAATGAATGAATATGAAAAAAGAATGACCAAACAATACACAACTTGCTAAATAATACCATGGGTAGGACTGCCCAATTGTCATGGATTAATTAATCCTAATTAATCTCTTAAAATTTAGTTTTTTTTTGGATGGCTATTTTATAATACATATCCAGATTGTCTATTTGTGTTAAGAATCTTGTAGATAGATTTGTCCATAACTCTTCTACTGATTTTATTACAAAAAAAGAACTGTATTATGAAATTTAATACCAATGCACTACCAAATATTCGGTACGATACTTACTATATGGTAATTAATGGTTATTATTGAATTTTTTTTTTTCTTATAGGATTATTATTGATGTTTTGGTATAGATTCGGTAAGGCAAGGTAGAGTGCTTGTCTGTTAGGGCATTTATTATTTTTCATATTTTAAATTAATAATATATTTCCCTATTTTTTTTCAAAAAAAACTTAATATTTTTTATGAATAAATTATATTTTCCTTAAATCCCTTTTATGTTGAAAAAAAAACACATGCACCAAAGCTCTTATATACAAATAACATGCATAGAATACTTGTTCTATAGGAGTTAGATGCTAATACACTTGTTTATTTTCACTGAGTGGATTTGATTCGTAAATTTGATTAAATAATCACCCACTTATAAGCAAACATATATACACATGGTTGAAATTCTTGTATAGTTAACGGTGTTAATTATTAATAAAAAAAAAGGGCGAATGACAAATAGGGGTATGACAATTGACTTAAATGCACATAGGTCCAAACAAAAACAGTCTTGAGAATAAATCCATACCCATGTCTTTTGTCTAAAATACTCTCCATAATATAATTTTTATCAATTCCATCCACTGTACTCTAACTTACTAAATTTACACATTGACCCCGGCTTTGAACAAATATATCACATTAACCCCCATTTTCATATTTTTTTGAAAAAATAATATATAATTTTTCATAAATATCTTTTTTTCCTGAATTTTTTCCAGCCGAATTTTGGCTTTGACTTTTTTTATTCATTTCATTTTTCTGAAAACTTTTTTTTTCTGAATTTTTTTCCGGCCGGTCAACCGCCGGTCTCAGGGCGTTGACTTTTTTTTTTAACTCTACTTTCCTCTCTAAATTACTGTGTTAACAATAAAATTATTGTCTGAGATAGTAATATTGAATACAGAAACAGTAATATTACTAATATTACTGTCCCAAACAGTAATATTACTATGCCGAACAGTAATATCATGAATATTACTTTTTACGAAGAGTAACATTATTACTAATATATATTACTCTCTCAAACAGTAATATTATTGCATGAGCCAGTAATATTACGGTCGGAGATAGTAATATTACGGTCGAAGACAGTAAAATTGCATGCCAAGATGATAACATTAATTAATAAAGTAAAATTACAATCTCAAACAATAACATTACTGTCTTATATAGTTAAATTACTGTCTTCGGCAGTTAAATTTTGGAGACAGTAATTTAGCAGCCAAGATAATAATATTAATTAAAATATCTTTTTTAAAGACAAAACAAGTTTTCAAAAAACCAACAAAAAAAATCAAAGGTCAACGGCGACACGAGGTCAACGGCGGCTGACTAGAGGTCTCCGGTGGTGGCAGGTCAAAATTGGGGTCAAAATTGGTTACTTAGTGAAATTAGACTAAATTGGGTGTAAATCATGAAATCGGAGTTGAATTAGAGTTTTAAGGAATGAGGAGAAATTTTGGTATATATAAATGAGTTTTCTTTATTTGCAAATAAGTTTGAATGAGCTGGATTTGGAAGATAAAAAAATTGGATATCCAATTTTAAATTAAGTGTCCTTCTCATGGGTCTATTTGTCATTTACCCATAAAAAAAAAAAAGAGATTTCACGCAGAATGAATCACATGCAAGAGAACTTTACCTAACAAATAAATATTTATTAAATATTTTTGTATTCGGTACGGTATATGATATACCGGATATCAATACCATATAACGGAATTTAAAAAAAATATTTACAGAATACCGAATCATTTTTTCGATTTGATTCAGTTTTTAAGATCGATTTACCGGCCGAGTGAATACCCCTACATAATCCTAACTTTCACATAATACCTAGGAGTAATAGGAAAAAAGAATGACTAAACAATGGTTCCTTCGACCCTACACCCGGTGATAAACACCGGGTGGGTCTTCTGCTGTCACGTCTTTCTTTTTTTATTTTTTTAAGACCCCTAAAGGTAAACCATTGCGGCAAATCTATTATAAAATACAAAAAAGAGACACGTTGCATTAAAAGACCCATCTAGTTTATCACCGAGTGTAGGGTCGAACAAATCACCAAACAATACAAAACTTGCTAAATACGGATAGGTGGCTTGCATTAAAATTTGCAGCATATTAAATGAATGGAGTTAGCTAGCTAGGTGGACCATGAACTTGGGTGTAAAATAACTTTCCAGTTTTCACTATACATTTGTAGGTTAAACTAATTAATTAGGGCATGAGTTTTGTTTTAGCTTCTTCATATATTAATTCCAATTTCATATATAGGACTGCCCAACTGTTAGACGGATTTGATCCTAAAGTAATTAGTCTCTAAAAATTTAGTTTTTTTTTTGGATAGATATTTTATAATGGAGTTTTTGACTTTTTGTGCTTAAATCCCTAACCAAGTATTTTTATTATATTAGGTTTAGGGGCTATATATCTTTCACCAATAAATTCATGTATATGACAAAATTACCCCAAGCCTTTACACCCAATTCTTAATTGTAACCCCAATTTAATCAATTTTGACCACACAAATTCAATTTTGACTTTTTTTTTTCTTTTTTTTTTTTTTCCGCCGCCGGTCTCCAGCGTTGATTTTTTTTTAGTGTTTTTAAGTGTTTTTTGTTTTTTTATGTCATCCGCTAAACGTTGACCGTAATTGTGATGTCATTAACGGTAATTATACTGTCACTGACTGTAAATTAACGTAATTATACTGTCACTGACAGTACATTAACGTACTTGTACTGCCGTTGACAATACATTTATGTAATTGTATTGCCGTTGACAGTAAATTAACGTAATATTATTATTATTTTTTTTGTTATTTTTTTTTGTTTGATCGATTTGTTGACAAGTCAACATAATTATATTAGTGTCGTTGACAGTACAAATAATTGTAAACACAATAATATTACTGTCAACCACATCAAAATTATTATGTTTTTGGGGTTTTTTTGTTTTGTTTGAGTTATTGACGGAGTAACGTAATTATATTACTGTTAATTATTGTAATATTACTGCAAACACAATAATATTACTGTGGTTGACGGTAATATTACTGTTGTTATAGTAGTATTACTGTCAACCACATAATATTATTATTTTGTTTGAGTTTTTTTGTTTTGTTTGAGTTATTCACGGAGTAATGTAATAATATTATTGTCTATTATTGTAATATTATTGTGGTTGAAGGTAATATTACTGTTGTTATAGTAATATTATTGTCACTCACAGTAATATTAATTCTTTTGGTTTTTTACTATGTTTACATTTGTTAAACGGTCAACATCTTAATATTACGCTATTACACAATCTTAATGAGTTTTGTTGTGTTAATATTACTGTGCTAGAGATTAATATAGCAATATTACGGTGTTAAACTGTAGCATAGTTAATTTTACTGTATTTAACAGTAAATAGTTAATATTACTGCTAATCACAACATGCTGTTTAAACGGAAAAAAAATGTTATAGAAAGAAAGAAAAAGAAATAAAAAAAGTCAACGCCGGAGACCAGCGGAAAAATCAGGAAGAAAAAAAATAGGTCAACGCCGGAAACCGGCGGAAAAATCAGAATAAAAAAAGGTCAACGGCGGTGACGAACGAAATTGTCCATAAAAATGTGTTTTTGGTCAAAATTGAATAATCTGTAAAATTTGGGGTCAAATTAAGGTTGAATTAAATTAAATGATGAAATTGAGGCATATTAAAGTATGATGGGCTATTTAATTTTTTTACAAAAATTTGGACCATATGTGCACTTTTTTTTTAAAAGAGTTTATTGCGTAGACTTTTTATAAGTAAGTAACCCATTAATGGACTTATTTATAAAAAAGTCTTTTATAATACATACCCAGATTGTATATTTATGTCAAGAATCTTGTAGATAGGTTTGTCCATAACTCTTCTACTGATTTTTTTACAAAAATATTAAGAAATTTAATACCAATGCACTATCTAATATTCGGTACAATACTATATGGTAATTAATGGCTATTATCGATTTTGTTTTTTTTTTTGTTTGAGAGGATTATTATTCAAATTTTGGTATAGCTAGATTCGGTAAGGCAAGGCAGAGTACTTGTCTGTTAGGGCACTTATTATTTTTCATATTGCAAATTAATAATGTATTCCCCTAAATTTAAAAAAAAAACAAAAAAAAAAAAAAGAAAAGTAAAACTTAAATCTTTTTTATGAATGAATTCTATTTTCCTTAAGGATGAGCATTACAGCCGGACGGTCCGTTTATAGTGATAAAACGGATGCCATCCATATGTTGACACGTGGAAAATAAATAACTATTATATTTAGACCATCTTGTATTGTGGGGAATACGATGCTACACCCGGGGATTTTCACCGGATGACTCTTTTCTTGATATGTGTCTTTTTTTATTTATTTTATAATTATATTTCTAAAATCCATTGGGCCATAATTGAATCCGTAGTGAAAATCTTATTAATTAGGGTGCCTGGTTATATTCACCAGGTGTAGCATAAAATTTCCCATTGTATTGCTCTCTTTTTTAAAATAGGGGTAATGGCAAATAGGCCCATGACAAGGGCACTTAATTAAAATAGGGACATCCAATCTTTTTGTCTTTCAAATAAATCCACCCCATTCAAACTTATTTGCAAATAAGGAAAATCCCTTTATATATACCAAAATTACCCCCAATTCATTGAAACCCAATTCAACTCCAATTTCATGATTTACACCCCAATTTAGCCCAATTTCATCAATTAACCAATTTTAACCCAAATTTCAATTTTGACCCCAATTTTAACCCTAATTCGTATCAATTCCACCCATTATGCTCTAACTTCTTTAATATTACACATTGAACCCCGGATTTTAACAAATATATCCCATTAACCCCCAAAACTTTTTTTTTTCAGAAAATAATTTTTTTTCTGAAATATTTTTTTTCCGGCCAGATTCCGGCGTTGACTTTTTTTTTTTTTTTTTTAAATTTTGTTTTCCTGAAATTTTTTTCCGGCCGGTCAACGACCGTTGACCGCCGGGTCTCCGGCGTTGATTTTTTTTTTTTTTTCCTTAAAAGAAATATTTTAATTAATTTTACTGTCTTGACTGCTAAATTACTGTCTCCGGCAGCTATTTAACTGTCGGAGACAGTAATTTAACTGTTAATTGACTGTTTTTTTTTTCTTCAAAAATATTTTAATTAATATTACTGTATTCGTTGCTAAATTACTATCTCCAGCAGTTATTTAACTGTTAATTGACTTTTTTATTCTTAAAATTTTTTTTTTAATTAATATTACTATATTCGTTGCTAAATTACTGTCTCCAGCAGTTATTTAACTGTCGGAGATAGTAATTTAACTGTTAATTGACTTTTTTATTCTTAAAAAAAATATTTTTAATTAATATTATTGTATTCGTTGCTAAATTACTGTCTCCAGCAGTTATTTAACTGTTAATTGACTTTTTTTATTCTTAAAAAAAATATTTTTAATTAATATTACTGTATTCGTTGCTAAATTACTGTCTCCAGCAGTTATTTAACTGTCGGAGACAGTAATTTAACTGTTAATTGACTTTTTTATTCTTAAAAAAATATTTTTAATTAATATTACTGTATTCGTTGCTAAATTACTGTCTCCAGCAGTTATTTAACTGTCGGAGACAGTAACTTAACTGTTAATTGATTTTTTTTTTTTTTTTTTTTTTTTCCTTACAAAAATTTATTTTAATTAATATTACTGTCTTGGATGTTAAATTACTGTCTCCAACAGTAATTTAACTGTCTTATACAATAATATTAATAATATTACTGTTCGGAAAAATAATATTCATAATATTACTGTCCCAAACAGTAATATTACTGTCTGAGACAGTAATTTAGTAGTCAAGACAGTAATATTAATTAAAATATTTTTTTTCTAAGAAAAAACAATTCAAAAAAAAAAAAAAAAAAATTCAACGCCGGAGACCGGCGGTCAACGGTGGTTGACCGGCCGGAAAAAAAAAATCAGGAAAAAAAAATTTCAAAAAAAAAAAAAAAAAAAAAAGTCAACGCCGGAATCTGGCCGGAAAAAAAACAGTTCAGAAAAAAAATTATTTTCTAAAAAAAAAAAGTTTTGGGGGTTAATGTGATATATTTGTTTAAATTCGGGGTCAATGTGTAATATTAAGGAAGTTAGAGCATAATGGGTGGAATTGTTAAGAATTATATTATTGAGGGTATTTTAGACTAAAGACATGGGGATGGGCTTAATTGAGAGACTGTTTTTTTTGTGGACTAAAATGCATTTAAGTCCCATGTGATGGACCGTTTTGCCATTTGCCCTTTAAAATATTATAATTGTATTGAATTTAATTAAAAAAATATATATACACATATTATATAACAATATGGTGTAAAATAAGCCATATTTTCTTCAAAAAAATGTCCTCTTACGTACAAAAGTAATACTATAGTTTATGTCAATTTAGTGTAAAATAATTATGTAACACAAAACTTCCGTATAATTAATATAAAAGGGGTAGATTGCAATTAATTTCCGTATAACTACGATAAATGAAGTTGTCACTTGTCATCAAAGTTGGGTCCACCAAAATTAATATATTAGTTGTCAATTTTGTACACATATCAGAATACCATCCGCTTTTTTACAATGTTATCTCTTTCCTTATTTTATGTTGAAAAAAAAGCATGCACCAAACCTCTATTTACAAATAACATGTTTATACACTTGTTTATTTTCACCGAATGAATTTTAATCGTAGATTTGATTAAATAATCACCCACTTATAAGTACATGAGTGTGTATATGAGATTTATGGTTGAAATTCGTGTATAGTTAACGACGTTAATTATTAATGAAAAAATGGGATTTCACGCACAGTGAATTACATGCAAGAGAGTTTTATGTAACAAATAAAACAATAAATCCTTGTATAGTTAACCATTATATATATATATATATATATATATATATATATATATATATATATATATATATATATATATGATATGGTGAAAACTAGTTCTATTTTTAATAAAAAAAATTTATAACTATGTAGTTATTTTTTATTCTTTATTGATTCCTTTAAAAAATAATATGGGACTGTATTTGAAATCCTTAAAATATTAAATACAATATATTATTAGAATGATTTGGATTAATTAGTTTTTTTTCTTTTTTTTCGAATGCTTAAAATATGATAAGATTATAATATATACTATTTGAATTAAAAGTTAACAATATAAACTTTTTTTTTGCAGTGTTTGTGGATCTAAAAATTTAAGCCTAGCTCCCCTAACTTTTGATCCTGGTCCGCCCCTGAAGTTCACTATATATAATTCCCTACAGCCCTCAATACATATCATCAATCAGGCATCGAAGGAGTTCTCTTCTCTCTCTCTCTCTCATAGTATACACTCTCTCTCTCTAGAAAGAAAAGAAAGATGATGAAGGTGGAGGTGGAGAGGCGAAAGCTGATAAAACCGTTGACGGCGACACCATCACACCTCCGCAGCTACAAAATATCACTAATCGATGAGCTCAACCCATCTATGCATGTCGTACGAATCCTCTTCTATCCGTCTGTCCCCGGAGAAAAACTGCGGCCTATAATCATCAACTTGGAAGAATCACTTGCTCGAATACTGCCGCTTTTCTACCCACTCGCCGGTAGATACATCAAGGAGAACCATTTGGTTGATTGCAACGACCAAGGCGTTGAGTTCTCCGAAGCAACGGTCGACTGCGACCTTCTTGCCGTTACCGGTGCTGGTGGTGGTGCCGAGCACCTCAACCACCTCCTCCCAATCGATATATGCGCCGCCGACGAGCCCACCGACCCAATCCTGGCGGTTCGAATCAACAGGTTCCGCTGCGGAGGGGTGGCCATCGGCGTCTGCGTTTCCCACAGGATCTCCGACTCCGCCTGTCTCGGAATATTCCTGCAGGCCTGGAAAGATGCTGCTACGGGCGGCAGCGGCAGTGATGTCATCAAACCTGATTTCAACTCGCACGAGTTCTTCCCGTCTGAAAACCTGCCTCCGTTGCATTTTGGTGTTTCGAGGACGCGGGACACCAGCGTTATCTGCGAGAGGTTTATGTTCGACAAGGAAGCCATTTCCGTACTTAGAGATATATATACCGCGGCCGCCTCCACCACACTGGAGGCCGGCGGCCGGCCGCCCTCCAGGGTGGTGGTGGTATCCGCTGTCCTGACGCAGGCTCTCCTGCGTGCAGACAGGGCCAAAAAGGGCGGCGTATCAAGCGCCGCCCTAATTGCACAGGCAATCAACGTCCGCGAAAGGACCGTACCGCCGGTGTCGAAGCATGCATGGGGCACATGGGTTTCGTTATCCTACCTGGAATATAGTGCGGAAGAGGCCCGCCTTCACCTGTTGGAAAACGGCGATTTTCCAGGCCTCGTTCGTAAAATGCGCGAGACCACCATACAAGGTGTTAAAGACTGTCCGAGAATATTATCGGAGAGAGAGTTTGGGAGATGGGTTTTGGTGGATAGCTACTTTGAAGCAGCTAAGAAAGCATCAAACCCTAACTATAAGGTGATATGGATTACGGATTGGTCGAAATTCGGTGAGTACGAGCTCGACTTTGGGTTCGGGAAACCGGTGTGGGTGAGCTTGGCTGATGTTCCTCTTAAAGACATGTTCATATTGATGAACACCAAAAGCAACGATGGAATTGAAGCATGGGTTTATTTGCACGAATCCGATATGCCTTTTTTCGAACACGAGTATCATCGAGTACTAGAAACCCTCCTTACTACAGCACCAACCACATAAATTTATGAACTATATATATATATATATATATATATATATATATATATATATATATATATATATATATATATATATCCAATAAGCAGTGAGCCATGCATTAATAAATTCCATGATCGATGGATCTGCCGGCAGCTTCTTCATGCATGCATATTTATAATTTTGTGTTTTTTTTTCTTTCCTGAAAAATGTATTTCAATAAAATAAGCTTCCTTTGTAGCATGTATCCTATTTAATCAAAGTATGAGTACGTGTTGTAATGGATTTGTTTTACCTTCATTTGACTACGACTACGTGCGTATGGCTTAAAAATTAATTTCCGAAGTAGACTTGATTGTACGAGTGATCATTTATAAGATACCTTCATAAAAGGGAAGATTGTCAGCTTTCTTTCGGTGTATTCTTGTAATACTGTTTATATATGTTTTTCGTCTTTGCGGGCAATCTACAAGTATTTACTGGTGGATATTAAAATGCATATCGTTATTTCTTTTCCGCTGATTGTTATGTGAATGCAATCGCATTCCACTTAAAATCGCTGTTTCAACTATTTAACACGAATTCGGAGTCATTGATTGTTTCAATTGGATATATGTTCCGGATTTTGTTATGTATATAGATTTTATATGTTTGCATTATTCAGGGAAGGGGGGACTCGAACCCTAGACCTTTACTCTATTAGTAAAAGTTAGGTACCAACTCTCCTAAGTTCAAGACAAATCACACATTTTTCATGATTTGTAAAATTCATAAGATCAATAGTAAAACACTCATTATTCTCACATGGATTTTTATTAGCATAAAAAACATTAAATTTGATCGTTTCATCATGCACCGTCATTGTAAGATCACCACTAGCACAATCAATTAGAGTTTTCGAAGTGGCTAAAAACGGTCTCCCTAAAATAAGAGGTATCTCCCTATCTTCATCTATATCGAGTACAACAAAATCAACCGGGAAGATAAATTTGTTCACTTTTACTAGCACATTCTCTAAAATACCTTTTGGGTAAACTAAAGACCTATCGGCTAATTGAAGAGTTATAGCCGTAGGTTCAATCTCACCTAACCCAAGATTTTGATATTAGAATAAGGCATAAGATTAATGCTAGCACCTAAATCAATAAGCGATCTAAAATTTTTACCTCCTATAGTACAAGAGATAGTGAACTTACCTGGATCGCCGAGTTTTTGTGGAAGGGGCCGTGTAAGAATTGCACTACATTGTTCCGTGAGTTGGATCATCTCGTTCCCTTGCAATTTCTTCATTTTTGTCACGAGATCCTTGAGGAACTTCACCCACTTTGGCATCTTTTGAAGGCTGGCTTCAATAAACGGAATATTTACTTGGATTTCCTTCAGCTTGTCCAAAAACCTTTGATAATCGGCATCGAGCTTCTTCTTTATAAGCTTCTGAGGATATGGAATTGGAGGGGCTTGTGATTTCACTGGGGATGATAGTGGTTCTTCGTGAGTTGCTTCTTTTTCCCCAATCACGCTCGGCTTCTCGATCACCGTGTCTAGCTTCTCTTTTCGTGGGGCTTCCTCCAATTGTCGCCCATTCCTTAAGCTCACAGCGTTGCACTGCTCGACGTTGTTCTTCCGAGGATCTTCCGTATTCGACGGCAGTGCTCCCGATGGCCTCGCGGTTAGCTGGGTTGCAAGTTGACCCATCTGTGTTTCCAAATTTTGGATGGAGGCTTGGGTGGTTGTCGTAAATTGCGCCAAGATATTTGCGAGATCTCCACCTTGAGGTTGAGCTTGAGGCGAATTTTGGAATCAGGGAGCTGGTCGTGAATAATTAGGCGGTTGACCTTGAGGTGGTGCTTGCCTTTGTCCTTGCTGATTTCCTCCCCACCCAAAGTTAGGGTGATCCTTCCATCCCGGATTATACGTGTTGGAGTACGGGTTCCTCTGTTGTCGGTTGGTGTCATGCACATAATTCAGAGACTCCGTTTCTTCTATGCGCTGGTCGGGAACGTGGACTGCATGGACTTGCTGAGTCTGCAAAGCCGCTACTTGTTTTGATAGCTTCTCTAACTGGGCCGTGATTGCAGTGACTCCGTCTAATTCCAATATTCCTCCCGTCTTGACTGCTCCGCTATTCGACCGGTCCGATGCCCGCATGTATTTATTTCTAGCGATTCGCTCCAAGAGTTCGTATGCTTCGTCGTAAGTTAAACTCATGAACATACCTCCAGCTGCAGAGTCGAGCACGGTTCTTGAGTTGTCTTGTAGCCCATCGTAAAATATTTGCAGTTGACGCCACTCTTGAAGTCCGTGATTCGGGCACCTCCTTACTAACTGTTTGAACCGCTCCCACGTCTCGAATAACGCTTCACCGGCTTCTTGTATGAAGTTTTGAATTTCTCTCCGGATTCTCTCAGTTTTTGTTGGGGAGTTGTATGTGTTCATGAAAAGTTGTGCTAGCTGGGCCCAATATGAGATGGAGTGCGGTGCGCGCGTTTGTAACCATTCTCGGGCTGCGCCTTGTAAGGAGTGCTTGAACAGGCAGAGTTGCAGTGCTTCGGGCGTTACTCCGTTCATCTTGTGCGAATCACACGTCTCGAGAAAATTGACCAAGTGGAGATGTGGATCTTCATGAGCTAGGCCGCTGAATAATCCATTGTTTTGGAGCATAGTGAGGAGTCCCGCTCGAATTTCGAAATTGTTGGCTTCAATGGGGGGTTGCTGGATGCTTGATTGAAACCCATTGAGCGTTGGAACGGTATACTCATGCAGTGCTCGTTGACGAGGTGGTGGATTAATTAGCTGGCGTTGGTTTTGGTCGTTGACGATTTCTCTCGCTACATTCGGTGGGTGCCTTTGGTCACCTTCTCCACGGTTAATCTCCTCTTCCATTGTTGCGGGAGCGTTTTGAGCTAACCTTTGATTTCTCCTGGCTTGCCTAAACGTTCGCTCAATTTCAGGATTGAGAGGTAACAAGCTCGTATCGTGTCATCTTCGCATAAAAAGTACCTAAAAAAAATAAAAATAAAATAATTAAATAAAATAAATAAAATGGCTGAAGTAAGAAAAATTGCTCAAATTTAATATTAGGATAAATAAATAATTTAGCCGTGTTCCCCGGCAACGGCGCCAAAAACTTGTTGGGTGCTAAATACCAACACGCAAGTGCACGTATCGCAAACAAGTAGTAAAGTAGACTCGTGAGAGTCGGATGTCGATCCCACAGGGAATACGCAAATTATTTAATCCTAAGTACCAAATCTTAACAATTACGATTTTTATCCAGCATACGCAGGGTTGTCAAATTAATTAACTAAATAAATTAAACTAATTAAGAAAGCAATTAAACACGAGAGAATATCAATATAAAACGGATCTAGGATTTTATCTTCCCCCTATGCGATAATTCTTCACCCAATTAATCTTCTATCATGCAAGTTACGATTCCCGATTATTAACCCAAGACACAAATTACTCATAATCAGCTGTCGCTGTATTATAAGCCTATTATTCATAAAAGATTCACTATAAGTCTATGCAAACCTAGTATAAATAAAGCATTAAATAACAAGTCTCGTAAACGGCTACCTAAGGTATTATCTGTATGTCTACGATAATACATGCAATCAACACACACATTCGGTGAAAAACTACTCAAAGGCTCTTCTATCCCTGTTCTAATTATTAAAACGATCTGTCAATCAATTCTAACAATAACACATAGCAACATAAATTAGCTACGTTCATGCGCTAAATAAGATCAAGATAGAAGAAATAATCGAAGAATTAAACTTGCATAAAAGTAGAAAAAGAGGTTCGAATTACCACATAGGGTTCCAATAAAATCCTAGAATAAAAACTTAGCTACTCATGTTCGTAACGAAAAGCATAATAAAAATACGAAAGTTCATAAAAATCTAGAAATAAAAATAAAGGAAAAACTATGATGAAGATTCGTCAAGTCTTCGTCTTCGTTCTCTTGATCGCGTGTAGAAAAATAATGATTAAAAGATAGATGATAGATCCCTTTAACTGTGTGCTTTTTGGCCTTTAAATAGGGTGCAAAAATATAAAAGGGCGGTTTCCTTGTGTAATTAAAATTCCTTCACTGCGCCAATACGTTCCTCCGGACGGCCGTGCGAGAATACGCTTTAAAATCCGGACGGCCGTCTGGTCTTCAATTCTTCAGAGTTTCGATATTTTCACTTTTGGCCCACTTTTTCTCCGAATTTGCAGTTTTCACCCCATAAGTTGCCAATTCTTCAATTTGCACCTAAAATACAAATAATAGCCATTTTAAGCACCAATTTAAAACACACCAAAAGCTCAAATTAAAAGGTACAATTAAGTGTATAAATATACACTTAACACCAACTCTGCCTGATCGTCGCAACTACAAGATATCAGTAGCCGATGAGGTGAACCCGGCAATGCATATAATTCGCATTATTTACTATCCATCCGTTAACGAATATCGAAAAGTAGTGATGAACTTGGAAGAATCACTAGCCCGGATACTGCCGCTTTTCTACCCACTCGCCGGTAGATACATCAGAGAGCAAAAAACGGTTGATTGCAACGACGAGGGCGCTGAGTTCTCTGTAGCACAAGTACTCGGCTGCAGCCTCTAACCGTGGCGGCCGCTTCTTCTGTCGCACCGGCGCAGCTCAACTGCCTCCTACCGGTGGATGTAGCCGCGGTGGACGAGCCGTGGGACCCACTTCTGGCGGTTCAAATCAACAGGTTCGTCGAATGCGGCGGCGTCGCGATAGGCATCTGTATTTCCCACAGGGTTTTCGACTCCACTTCGGTGGCCACTTTCGTGTCTGCTTGGGCCGATGCCGCGAGACGAGGCGGGGTACCATCTATCGAGCCTGATTTCGACATGCTACCATCCTTGTTCCCATCTGAGAATTTGCCAACGTTGGATATGGGAATCGCCAGGGATACTTCCGATCGGGTGGGTGGGCCCGCCGCTAACGCAAACATCGTCAGTACTGTCGGAAAGATATTCATGTTTGACAAGAATCTCATTTCGGCACTGAGAGACAGTGTCTCCGACACCCCCGGATGGAAATCATCAGCATCCGGGGCGGCGCAGCACCCACCATCTAGGGTTTTGGCCGTGTCTGCAGTCATGGCACAGGCTTTCATGCGTGCTGACAGGGCCAAACACGGTGGTGGGCCCGGCGGGTCCTACAAGAGAGGCTCGGTGATTGGGCAGATGATAGACGTTCGAGAAAGGACGGTCCCGCCTGTGCCGAGACATGCATGCGGCACGTGGGTGTCTTCATCGTACCTCGAACACACTGCCGAAGAGAGCCTTGCACTGGAGCACGATTACCCGTCCATGATTCTGAAACTGCGTGCGGCCAATGCTAAAGTCATCGAGGATTGTAAGAGGTTATTGTCGGATAAGGAGTTTGGGCGGTGGACTATGATCGGTAGCTCTATTGATGTAATAAAGAAAATAACGAGCCCCGATTTCAACTTTGTGTGGATTACGGATTTATCGAAATTTGGATGCTATGAACTGGTTTTTGGGTTCGGGAAACCTTCGTGGGTGAGCTTGGCTCATCTACCAGTTAACGATTTTATCGTACTCATGAACACCAAAGACAACGACGGAATCGAAGCTTGGGTGTACTTGCATGAATCCGACGACGAAGAGTTTAAGGATATTATTAGGAATAATATTATCAAGATCGACGACGGCGGTGATGCTTGTGACACGTACTCAAATTATTAGTTCAATTACGGACATTTATGTTGTCCGTAATACCGACCTATGTTTCGATAGTAATACTATGATCATATTATACGAAAAAAATAAAATGTTTGTGTTGTTTATTTTGTTAACTATACAATTTCGTCGCGAGAATGTATTCCAATAAGCTACCTGATCTGTATCGGAAGGCATTGTACAATAACAACTATTCTAAGCATAACTTATTACCATCGTCGAGTATCCTTGCTCAATTGATTTTTGCTCTATTGAGTTTCCAACTGAAACACAAGTTCTTAAGTTATGAGATGTTCTTTACTATTTTTTAAATCTATGGTGTATGTGTGTGCGCTTAGTGGGAACTGAGAAGTTATTTCACCGCATCAACATGTTAATAATTATCCGATGTATTTTACCAGGTGTAGCATCTCAAAGAACGAAACTTTGTGTGCCGTGGAATTAATTATATTCCAACTCAAATATTTCTCTTTTTTACTTTATTTTTATTAAAAAACAGGCTGTTATTATTTATTGTGTTTTCTCAACTATGCCCTTATTACTATTAAGAGAATCATTGTTAAACATTTAACAAAAGTGATTTTTTAGTCATTTTATTATGATTTTTTCTAGAATTCATGCAATTTATTAGTTTTCTTAATACGTGGGAACTAGCCCTAAGAGACAATTAAAATGTAATGGAGGGAGTATTTTTAATTAATATTAATAAAGAGTTGAGGGTAATTTTGTCATATACATTAATTTTTCCTTTATTTATAATACATATTAAATGGATGTGCTTATTGACAAAAGAGATACAATCTCTAAACATAGAATAGTAAAGATGGTTGGTCAGAGACCTGTGCACAAAAACACTTTAATAATACATATCCGATTGTATGTTTGTGTCAAGACTCTTATAGATAAGTTTGTCCATAACTCTTCTATTGATTTTACTACCAAATATTCGGTACCATACTATATGGTAATTAATGGTTAGTATTGATTTTCTTTTCTTTTTTGAGAGGATTATTATTGAAATTTTGGTATAGATTTGGTAAGGCAAGGTAGGTGCTTATCCGTTAGGGCATTTATTATTTTTTATTAGGGGTCTTTACAAATAAGCCCATCGGGTACTTATTTATAAAGAGATCAAAACAAAAAACTCATTTACCAATAAGTTCACACATGGTCCAGATTTTTGTAAAGGACTAAAATAACCCCTCATACTTTAATATACTCCAATTTCATCCTTAACTTTATTTAACCTCAATTTGACCCCAAATTTCACAAATTATTCAATTTTGACCCAAATTTTTTTTTTCAAAATCTTTTTTTTTCCCGCCGGATTCCGGCGTTGACTTTTCAAATTGTTTTTTTCCTTCCGGATTTTTTCGCCGGTCTCCGGCGTTGACTTATTCGACTATATTTTTTTTTCTCTTCTTTTCTTTCTTTCTGTAACATTTTTTTTTTCGTTTAAACAACAATGTTGCTGTGATTGACAGTAATATTAACTATATTACTGTTAAACACAGTAAAATTAAACTAAACTACTGTTTAACACAATAATATTGCTATATTAATCTCTAGCACAGTAATATTAACACAACAAAACTCATTATTATTGTGTAATAGAATAATATTACTACGTTGACCGTTCATCAAATGTAAACATAATAAAAAACCAAAAGAATTAATATTACTGTCTATTATTGTAATATTACTGTGGTTGACGGTAATATTATGTTATTATATTCTCACTGTCCTGTTCAGTCACTGTTATACAAACCGTAGTCACATAATAGTCACATTCTCTCTGTTTTTGTTATAAGAATCATGCTTTTACTGTCTGTTAATTATAATGTTTTACAAAGCACAGTCACATTCACATAATAGTCATATTCTTACTGTTATCTTAATAATTATGCTTCTACAATATGTTAATTACATTGTTATACACAGCGTAGTCACATAATAGCCATATTCAACTATAGTCATATTCGGAATTGTAAATCTGTCGAAAAAAAAAATTCAATTTTTTGTTTAAAAAAAAATATATATTTTATTAGAAAAAATATTAAAAATATAAATAAATAAAAAAAATGGCTAAAAATCCGAAATAATAAAAAATAAAAAAAATAAAAAAAATCATCTTTTTTTTATTTGGTAGCAAATTTTTAGGAATTTGGAAGCAAATTTTTAGGAATCAGGTTATTGTTATGGAAAGAGAGAAAAAATGAATAATTGAGACTAATTATGCTAATTGACATAAGGGTAGAATTGGAAATACAAATTCTAGGGGTTTATCACAAAGAAATATTTAAGGGGTGGACATATCACCATTTATTATATATATGAGGGGTTTATTGCTAATGACCCCATAAAAAAATTACCCCCAACCCTTTACATCCAACTTTTTTAATCAATATTGACCACAAAAATCCTATTTTGACTTTTTTTTTTTCCAAAAATATTTTTTTTAAATATTTAGGGGCAATATCTCTTTAACCAATAAGCCCATCCCTTTAATATTTATTATAAATAAAAGAAAAATTCATGTATATGAAAAAATTACCCCCAACCCTTTACATCCAATTTTTTTAATCAATTTTGACCACAAAAATCCTATTTTGACTTTTTTTTCCAAAAACATTTTTTTTAAAATATTTTTTTGCCGCCGGTTTCTGGTGTTGACTTTTCGGTTTTTTTTTTTACCCCCGTCGCTAAACATTGACCGCAATTGTGCTGTTATTAATGGTAATTATCCTGTCACTGACAGTAAATTCACGTTACTATATTGTTTCTGACTGTACATTAACATAATTGTACTGTCGTTGACACTGACAGTACAATTAGAGTCAATGGTAATATTATTATTTTTTTGTTATTTTTTTCTTAATTTTTTTTTGATTTGTTGACAAGTCAACGTAATTATATTACTGTCTTTGATAGTAAAATACTGTAAACACAATAATATTACTGTCAACCACATCAATATTATTTTTTTTTTTGGGTTTTTTGTTTTGTTTGAGTTATTCACGAAGTAACGTATTGATATTACTGTCTATTATTGTAATATTACTGTAAACACAATAATATTACTGTGGTTAACGATAATATTACTGTTGTTATAGTAATATTACTGTCACTCACAGTAAATATTATTATTTTTTTGTGTTGTTTGAGTTATTCACGGAGTAACGTAATAATATTACTGTCTATTATTGTAATATTACTGTGGTTGACGGTAATATTACTGTTGTTATAGTAATATTACTGTCACTCACAGTAATATTAATTCTTTTGGCTTTTTATTATGTTTACATTTGTTAAACGGTCAACATAGTAATATTACTCTATTACACAATAATAATGAGTTTTGTTGTGTTAATATTACTGTGCTAGAGATTAATATAGCAATATTGCTGTGTTAAACTGTAGTTTAGTTAATTTTACTGTATTTAACAATAATATAGTTAATATTACTGTCAATCACAGCAATATTGCTGTTTAAACGAAAAACAAAATGTTACAGAAAGAAAGAAAGAAAAAAATTCGAAAAAGTCAACGCCGGAAACCGGCGAAAAAATCCGGAAGGAAACTTTTTTTGAAAAGTCAACGCCGGAATCCGGCGGCAAAAAACTTTCTTTTTTGAATTTCTTTATTTTTTGTGAAAAAAAAAAGAAGTTTTGGATCAAAATTGAATAATTTGTGAAATTTGGGGTCAAATTGAGGTTAAATTAAGTTAAGGGTGAAATTGGAGCATATTAAAGTATGAGAGACTATTATAGTCTTTTACAAAAATCTGGACCATATATGGACTTATTGGTAAAAAAAAAATTTGTCTGGATCTCTTTATGAATAAGCACCCATTAATGAGCTTATTTGTAATGACCATTTGTTTATGATAGGGTTAATGGCACTTACCTTCCCTGTACTAAATAGAAACATTCACTTACCTCTTATCTACTATAACAAAAATTCAACTCCCCCTAGATTACATGTTATACCAATTATACTTTTTTCTCCTAGTTTTTTTAGGACAAGTCTCCCTCTTTCATTATTTTACAAACTTAAATATTTTACCATTTCATAAAAAATATTCTCGTAGTTATAATTTATACTCATTTTTATTTTATTTTTGTTTTGGACGTTTTTGTTTAAAGTTTACTTGTATTGAACTCTCTAACCATATTTTCATCTAACTGATATTTGTTCTAAAGATAAGTAAAATAAAATATCATAAGAATTAGAGAGAAAATATTTTTTACTCAATAGTTTTTATATTATTTATCAAAAAATCATTACAATGATATTACTTACCATTTAAATTTTATTTTTTTAGGGATATAAATTTATCATTGCGTGTTATTTCGATCAACCAAATTAAATCTAATAATTAAAACTAATAATGAACTATTTCATAAATTATATTATAAAAAAGATAAGATGCCCATACTTGAAACTAATTAGATGGAAAATTTAAATTAATTTATATGTTCAAGTTTATGATAAAGAAAAGAAATATAATGTTATTATGGTTTCTTGTTATAATTTACTTTAAAGAGATTTTTTTCTCTCTATAAAATTGAATGACAATAAAAATAAATATAAATAAAAAATAATAATACATATTGGAGTGTTTTAAGTTCTAATGTTATTTCTTGTGTTCTCGATTTCTTTAATCATCATAAACTTCCCTCTATTTTGGATTATATTGTTGTTCTCATCTCAAAAGTGCACAAACCTGAAAAAATGTTTGAGTATAGACCCATAAGCCTCTGCAATGTTATTCATAAATTCAGGTCTAAAGTCTTGGCTAATGGGCTTAAATGTGTACTTAATGATATAATTTCTCCTACTTAATCTGCTTTTGTTCCTTGCTGTTTGATCACCGAAATTGTGCTTGTTGCATTAAAGGTTAACCATTTTATTAGAATGAACTCTAGAGTCCGTATGAATTTTATCGCAATTAAACTCGATATTAGTAAAGTGTACGATCGAATTGAATGGATTTTTGTGAAAAAGAATCTTTCTAGATTAGGAATTCCTACAGTGACTATCGATCTCATCATGCTTTGTATTTATATTGTCTCCTATTTAATGGCAATCGATTTGGACCTTTGTAGCCTTCTAGAGGACTCAGACAAAGTGACCCCCTCTTGCCTTACTTGTTCATTTGTTGCGCGGAGGGCAACAAATATCTAGGAATGCCGGTCTTGGTGGGACGTATAAGGAAAGTTATCTTTCGCTACCTCAGAGATAAATTGTGGGCTCGAATTAAGGGGTGGAGCAAGAAACAGTTACCGAAGGTCGAGAAGAAAGTGTTAATCAAGTCAGTCCTCCAGGCCATACCCTCATATGTTATGAGTTGTTTTCTACCCCTCATCGGCCTTATTTGCGAATTAGAAAGTTATTAAAAGATTTTGGTGGGGTAACAGCCCAAACAAGAGAATGGCGTGGATGACATTGAGCGTTATGTGCAAAGCCAAGGAAAATGAGGGACTAGACTAACATGTCGGAAAAAAAAAATTCAGAAAACAAAAAAGGTAAACCCCGGTCTCCGTTTGCTGTCCTATCAGGAAAAAAGAAAATCATAAAAGAAAAGTTAAAAAGAAAAAAGAAAAAAACAATCAGCGTGAGAGACTGACAGTGGCAGTCAAAATAGGAATAAGGGTCAAAATTAATTAGTTAGTGAAATTGGGGCTAAATTAGGTTTTAAATCGTGAAATTAGGGTTTGAAGGTATTGTGGATAATTTTGATATATAAAATAGTTTTCTTTAACGAGAAATAAATTTAAATTGGAGTCATATTTGCGAGAAAAAAAAACAGAATACTTCTTTTTTTATTTACGTGCCATTGTTATTGATTTTTTAACAATTTACCCACAAGTCAAAGATTAATATGTTGGTTGAGATGGTAATATATAAGTAGAACCAAAGTCCCCTAGAAAGTAAAAAAGCCCTCTAAAATAATAATAATAAAT